TTCTTTTCCTCATAATTTTGATGCTAAATAAATATTACATTTTTTATAACAAACGAATCGTTAGCTTTTTTTAACTCTTGTATTAAATTTTCAACAATTTTGATTTTATCTCTTTCTAACTTGTCTCGCACTTTCAGAGGAAGATAATAAAATATTTGGTAAATTCTAAATACTTCTGGTATATATGTATCTGCTTCAAGCAATAAACTCTCTTTTTAAGCACAAAATTAATTAAAGATCTTGATATATATTTATAATTAAGTGCATCTCGAATAGGAGATCAGCTTTTTTTCTTAAGTTAATAAAAATGATCTTTTCCAACTGTCCCAATCTGATAATGAGAGCTTAAGCAAATTACAATTACTGTACCATCTTTTACACTACCTTATATAAATAATTTTAAAGTTCTACTTTTGCTGTTCTGTCCACTATTTTATGTTTAACACATTTTCTCTCATATAGTTGCAACCAGTTTGCAGCCTCTTAAATTGATTTACAAATATTTGTTTCTACTTCACTCAATTTTTAATACATTAGTAGAAGAATTTTTTTGTCCAATTCCTGAATAAGTTTTGTTAAAAAATTATTGTTAGAAGTGCCGATATCATCTAATAATTCATTCATACCATCTCCTTATACCATTCTTCCAAATAATGATTCTTAAAACAAAAATTATCAAATTAAGGTTTTTAGTTGAGGGGAAAAAAATCAGTGTCACGAGTGGGATTCGAACCCACGATCTTCGGCTAGATACACCGACCACTTGAGCTGTCGTGACCTCGATCCACTCGGATATTAAATTCCCATCTCAACCTCTCCTTTTGAATTTTTTTTTCCTTTTTGCCATTTTTCATGTTATAATGATTTTTCTATCACTTTCTACTTTACTAATGGATTTGAGAGTATTGGCAATTGTTTGAATGCCTATCAATTCCTTGATGTAACTTAAATCTTTTGTATCATCTGGTAGCAAATACCATACAATTTTATCACTGGGTAGAGCAGCCAGGTCGTACTTATTATCACCTCTTTTGATAATGTGTACATGTAATTTCTTCAGTACTGGCATTTATTTGGAAAGTTATTCAACTTGTAACTCTGTACTAAAACGACAATACTCAATTACTAAACAAATAGAATTGAATAACAGTCAATATTTCAGACTTATTTCACAGTAACTGTCTTTTCACTGATCGACCACAGGATCCACATTTGAATTCATTAGTTTAGGAGACCAGCCCGAAGGGACGTTTTAATAGGAATGTTGGTTTTATTAACAACTTTTAGTTTTATATGACGATTCCCGTGAGATAAATTATCAAAATATTTTTACATTTTAACGCTACATCGTATTTTTAAGGACACATTGACTTAAGACAGATTCTTACTTCGGAGGCGCTTCCACCCTGCAATTAAGACGGTCCACTCAGTGGCGCCTTTATGAATTATGAATATAGTGCATATGAATTGCTAGTTAAACGGGCTCGTTGCTCTCAGATGTGATAATTAACCTGAATGCATTTGTCGTCCTTTTATAGAAATAAAATTTTATTGCCGGGATGGGGAAAATCGGGCACGACTTTTTTTATTTTATTACCTCCTTTTTTGACCCGTTTAATTGTAGCTTGGGAATTCTAATTTTAGAACACTCCAGGCTATTTTAATGGACCGCCGGGCTATATTTAGAACTGGACGAATTAGCAAGGCATCAATTCAAATTAAAAAAAAAAGTGTGTAATAATACTTCTCATGCACCTGTCTTGTATCAATTATCTAATAGCGTTATGTAACTATAATAATTATCGCTCGCCTTTGAACTACTAACACATATATTGATGTATATTGTTCTAAAATAAACTCAACGCTTTATCGTTTTAGTACTTATATTATAATTCATGTAAAAAAGTATTTCAGTCATTTGTCGTAATGACATTGTTGACGTAGCAGCAAGCTTGCTTGCAGTAACAAAGGTTTTATGGGTTTTTAACTTCTCAAGTATTCTGTACTAAGTTGTTTAATTTTATTGTTCATACGATCATTAGAAACGGTGATCGTAGTGCAATAGGTATCTCTAGCTGGACCTAGTATTAACTAAAATTAATCAAAGTATAACACCTTAAATACCGTTCGTACTTTTCGTATTCCTTGGATTTCCAACGTATAGAAATGAAAAGCGGAATTGTAATTTGGGGCCAGAAGAGCGACAGGTGAATTATACATTTGGCGGTGAAGCTCAAGATAAAATCGGGCGATATGACCACCAAAATAAGTGTGAACTGCCGGGTTAATAACCGAGTAACGTACTTTCTTACGTGGCTGAGTAATGAGTCTGATATTAGGTTCAAACTAAAGTTTCTTCATAAAGGCCTTATCAGATAATTTTTACAAATAAGATAATCACATTCTTCGGCATATTTCTATTTCAGTGTTAGTTGTATGGTTTCCTGCCTGCCATTGATTGTAAAACGAAGCTGCGAAAAAAAGACATTCTCAAAAAAGTTATCTCGCTGTTTTTCTTTAAACCCATTTCAGCTCTAGTCCGTTAATCATATTCGGCTTTCGAATTTGGACTTAAACAAACATCGGCATCGGTTAAAAACTTTTTCCGTAAATCTTGTTAGCATCAAGTTTGAAATAGATTTTTATAATTGACACTCTTGTGAAATGGTTATTGTTCATAAACATTTTCAAATTTAGACACGAAAGGGGTGCCTAAGTTATGTCGAAACATGTGAAGCACGTAACACGTCTATACTTAGAAACATGTGAAGCTTTTCATGACATCAGCATGAAGTAATGAAGTTAGTTCACTTAAAATAAATATTGAATACACTTACCCTAGAAAATTTGCTAAGCAAAATCTATATTAATTGAGCACGTTTTTTCAATTTGTTAACATTTTTCACTAGTTTTGACAACAACCACACAAACCAAATTTTTTACAGAATCTCTTACAATATTGTGATATACAACAACAATCAACTGAGTACAATGCACTTTTTTAAACATTAGCCCCAAAGCAACATGAATTAATGCGGTGTGTGCTTAGTGTTTGTCTTAATATAGTAGAGGGATGGAAAGACGGATAGATAGGTAAATAGATAAGTAGCTTCATAAAGATACGGTGAGATTTTTTACTCTAATTACATATTTAATTTAACTTAAGAAAGGCATTGTTCATCATTAGGTTGAAGGACTAACTAATACACGAAGTATTATTTAAAATTTTCAATCTACAATTTTTTCCTTATTTTTATGCGTATGTGCATATCTACGATTATTAAAGGTTTGTTACAAGAGGTCGATACAAACGTGAAGGAAATTTTATTTCCTTTTAAACTAAGTAAATTTTAACCTCCACCATTCTGGGTAATACTTAAAAAAATGCCCTTCGATTAGAACAAAACGTTCACACAAAAATTAATTGTCAAACACAATGCATAATAATAAATTTTCCTAGACCGTATTTCCGTCAGTGGAATTTTATGGTAATCTCAAATTGCAATTATTTTTGATTACAGTACGTCACGCCATGCATATTTCTCCTATTAACTTTATTAGCGAGAAATGTACAAGATCTGTGACGCGGGGACTTAATGAAAAACCGTTTTCCAAGTACAAATTTAGAAATGTCTTTGATGTTTTCCATATTAAACGTCCTTTTTATAGAACGGGCAGGACATGCTCTCGCACGAATGTAATTTGAAATAATCGAGTTCAATGTATATTACAACTTTCATCTAAATTATACGCTCATTTTAGAAAGTAATTTCTTTTATGACAAAAAAAATCTTAGTTAAAGAACGATAACGAGTAGTTAAGTAAAATTTGATTACCTCTTTCAATATTACCGTGTTTTATATTATCAATCACTTCACTAAAAAAAATTATTTTATTTTATTAAATTTTGTTATATTAAAGGCAAAAGAAAGTAAGTTTATTTTAAATTTAAAAAATTGACATCTATATGCCCCTGCGTGTATATGCATTATTTTTATATTGATCCAATAGTAATTATTTTCTTTATTGCATGTTACACTATACCAATAAATAACTTGCTATTAGAGCCATGTGTAGCACATTTTTAAATCTTCTTAGTTTAAAATGTCTTGAAACTATCAACCATACTTACAGAAAAAGTGAATATAGTGTGTCGAGATTAGTTTTAAATAATTCTATACGCTATCTTTCAAACAATAATAACTGCATCTTAGTAGAGGTTGTTATGTGCCTATTACAATGTTGTTACTGTGGTTGTGTTGTCTTTAAAATACAAAAGTGAATAAAGTATTCATTCACCGGGCGAGTGAAAGCATATGAATCTCACAGTCATTTCACTACAGAGGAAAGCCTTTCAACCTTGCCTTGACGTACATTGGTGACCGTGCTAATAAAAATTTGCACTGGTGACTATCCCGTAGAAATCATTTGACCGGTTGAGTTATGTGCATGTGGAAAAACATATCAGCTGTTATGTCACTACGATCCGTCTTTTCGTACTGTTAAAATCTTTCAAATTAGTATCAGTGGTCATCGAATTCAGAATTCGCACAAAGAAGATAGGTGTATATACGATCTTTTAATTTATTTCACAAAGAATGAATCAGATTAAAGAAATTTCAATAGGGTAAAATTCATGGTCATCTCCAATGGGGGATGATATCCGAATGGTTACCGAGTACTCTTCTTACCTGTACATAATAGGTGCATGTACCTCGTCCACTCGCAGATGATTGTAGACAAAATGAAACTTCTAGTAAGTAGACTTAGAATAAGATGCTATGGAAATAGAAGGTGTATGATTTTGATATTATTTTACCTAAAGGCATGAGTTTTAGAAATGACATAGCAACACACTGTGGTAAAGAAGAGGTGGAATCCATCTCTTCTTTATTTAAATTGCAGTGGCTTGATATTGCATACTGTGGTATCTGTAGAACCAGGATACAGCAATATTTTCTTTCTAAACCTAATGTTGAAAATATGGTTTAAGTACTCACGTGGTTGAGCGAAGGCGATGACCTTTTCCATGGAGGCAGAATAATCGTCCTGCTCTTCAAGAAGAGCTGGCCCCGGCTTAAAAGACTGCGGCTGGTCTCCCTGCATCGAATACACATCCATGATGTACTCTAGAGGCGGTATCCTCGGAATCTGCCTTCCGGTGATATTGGGGGCGGCGGAAAAGCCCAGTTTGGCTAGGATCTGCTCCTTGATGTTGGCCAGGCTGATGGAACGGAGTTCCGTCCGGAGGAGGCAAGCGGAGCATGTGCCCGCTGACTCGACAGCCCCCACGAGGCACCCCACTAGCAACAAGGAGTAGCCAAGTAGTGTCATTCCTCACTGCCGGCCAGCCCTGCGCTTACAACACCTACAGTTAGCCCCACTACTCTCCCACTGTCTACCCCACCCTTTCTCGCACCCCACTTCTACATTAATAGAGTCATTTTTACATTTTTAAATATTAATTATGAAGAAAGAAAAGACATCAGAGGGAGTTCGGAAACAATCTAATGGCAAAGAAACGTGTCACGATAAGTGAAACTTAATAATTTGCACAATTTCAACAAGATTCTACTCCAGTTCTGAATCACAGTCGAATCAATTTAAATGCATAAAGAGAATACTAAGTTTTTAAACCAATGCATAACCATCATATGATAACTATAATTAATTAATATGATCCCAATTTCCTTCCATCAAAATTTAATTAATTTAATATACAATCACGACATAAGTCACAGTTTAGCGCTGAATATAAAGGCCAACAAAGTAACCTATTCGAAATATTAAGTGAAAAGTACATAAATAGAATAGAAACTTTATACTGATTTACACTAACCAAACATAATTTGGTTCTGCATACGAAAGAATAAAGAATCCGATTAAGATATTTAATTTAACAGACAAGTTCTTAAATCAAACACGATCGAATTAATTTCTTTATATATATATATATATATAATAAAATCTTTGGTCTTAATCTTTGAATTGGTGATAAAACAAATAAGTACTATAAAAAAAGTATTGTATATTTAACTGCAAAAGCGTATGTATTTTTTAATGTAAATAAGGATATGATTTAAAAAATACGAATAAATTTAATAATTGAGTCAAGAAAAGAATGAAACACGTTTATTTATTATAATTATAAACTAGATTAAAATGACAATTATACCAAAAAAGACCATAAAGATAAAGCCCTAGGGAAAAAAACGCTCATTTCCTTCGTTTACCTTTCGAAGAATATATCCTTTCTATTAGGACTATGAAAATTTAATTTCTACTTTAAAATATTAACAATACGAGCAATATGAAATTTTGATTTTTTCAAGATTCTTAAAATACGCAATATAGAACGTATTGATCTTATTTTAGTGGTTCTTTAGCAAATTAGCACTTCCTTCTAGACTGGCGAAAGTTATCGTTGAAGAAGGGTCATATGAGTCACGAGACGACTGAAACGAACAACTTTAAGGGAGAAAATGGGTATATCTACAAATCAGTTTTTAGTTTTATTTTAATAGAAGCCATACATTTTAAGTTGTAAATAGATAACCATACTTGCTATACTTTTAAATTGTAATTGCACAGTTCTGATGATAGAGTTAAATTCTTTGAAAGCACGACGAAGGAACTAGGTATTTTCTTTTAAATTGGCCTCATCTTTGATCGACATTAATGAAAATTTTAAAGCATAGCTTAAGCCAAATTTTAGGTGTGGAATTTTAGTGGTAATCAAAGTTATTTGAAAAAACTATTCAAAAACAAATTGTATATATCGGGTTGTCCGGAAAATAATGCAGGATTTTAAGTTTTCATTAAAAAAAATCTATATAAAATATTCTGTTTACGTTTACAGGATTACTCATNATATATATATAGAGAGAGAGAGAGAGAGAGAGAGAGAGAGAGAGTTGTCTCTGTCATTTAAAGAAAAAAAAATTGCCTAATAAAAACGAATAAGGTCAAGAAAAAACCTCAAATCAAATTGATTATCAAATACAATATGCTTTCCTGTTTTGACATTTGGCTGAACGGTTTGATTTTACAACTGATATACTACATTTTTAGTTTTTCAATTAAAAAATAACATAAATTCAATCTTGAATATGTTAACCAACTTTTTCTTTTTAATTTTGCTTTCAAGCTTGCAGTTGGGTTAAGAATATAATAATTTTAAATAAATATTACGGTCGTTCAGACCGAAATATTAACGTTTCGTAAAATATGCAGCGAAATTATTTTCAAAAGATAACAAAATGATAATATTTGAAATTAAGGCGAACATGTCAAAACCGTGTTTGAACCATATTCGATAATTTTAAATACAAACACTCAACAAAGAATCCATTTCATACTCAATTACATTCTACAGCAAAAACGAATCAATTTTATGATTGAGTAAACAAAAGGGATTTATATTAATCAATACGAAAACATTGAACAGTAAATCAAATTAATCATACCATCCGAATCCTTTTGTTGCTGCGTTAATTACATTCAACGGACCGCGTTTATTTTATAATTAATACATCAAAACCAATCATTTCAAGTTCAGTAATGCAGATTGTAACAAACAAATGGAAAGGAACGAGAAGGAGGCAATGGACTTTGGAACCTGTCGGAGGCAAAAGTGCAGGAAGGCTAAAAGGCGGAGTACAGNGTAAGGGAAAACCAATTTAATTCAACTTAATTGTTTCTATTTTTTCAAAATTAAATTCACACTTTTTTAAAAATCTTTTAAACTTAAATTAATACAAAAAAATAAAATCAATTCACCTTGAAATAATATAAAAAAAACTTAAAATATAATTGAGACGTATTTAAACTAAAATAAATGAATTCCTGTTACTCTATGCGCAATCCCCAAGGAAATAAAATTAAGGAAATGAGGAATAGGAAAAGAACTCACAAGATGAATGCCGTTTTCTTGAAATCTTCTCATCAGATGTTTTTTTTACAAGCCCAGTTGAAGCAGCTACGTACGATGTGGATTCTTCGATGTCTTCCAGTGGAATGTCCTCTGTACTCCGCCTTTTAGCCTTCCTGCACTTTTGCCTCCGACAGGTTCCAAAGTCCATTGCCTCCTTCTCGTTCCTTTCCATTTGTTTGTTACAAGATGATAAATTCATGTTCAGTAAAATAAGACACATACACACCGATTGGTTCGAATTATTTTCCTTTGTGACAATTGCATTCAACTGAATGAGTTAATTGAATACACGAAATTAGTATTCATTTCCCAATAGTCAAATTTAAAAGGAAATAAGACTAATAAATCAAAATAATAATTGCGGAATTAGGTCTGTCTAACACGATCTGTGTTGAGCAACTAAGGTTGCTTCAAAATAACAAATCTTAGTTATAATAAATGCAGGTGTGTTTATTTTACGACCAACTCAAATTCAATTTAGTTAAATTTAAAATCCAAATAAGTAAAACTGTATTATGTACAATTATAAAAGTACAACATAAACGCTATGAATGAAGTAGGAAAATTTTTTTGAAGAATTATTACCAATAATTGAACATTTAAAATTGAAAAATTCTAAGACATATAACATATTTGAATATGAAACATTACTGGTTCCATTAATTATATGTAATTATTATCAAAGGCCATCATGAATATAATTTAACTTTTAAAGATACCATGGATAATTCGTTAAAGAAGAAAGATATGGAAAAAAGAAAAATATATAATGAAATTTTTAAATCTGAATATTTGGAAAATAGCAAATGTTTTATTACTATTATTGTTCTCTAAGTAAAAAGCAATTGGTTGAGATAGGCATTTTTTTAAATGGAACAAGTTTTGCCCTAACCATCGCTAGAAGTTTGCTTTCTATATAGTAAATTCTATTACCCCCAAAAACTTCCATTCTATACATATCCAATTTCAAACAAAACTGACATTTAGCTCATAACCAACGAGATAAAAAATTTGGTACCCTATGCCATCCGAAGAAATTTTTTCCCAAGGAACATCAAAAATTCATGAGCATGCTTATAATTTTAAATTCGTTTGCTGCCAGCGTGCGCAAAAAAATATTCGGGCTGTGTTATTATGTATCCATTTTTAGCCCCATACTAACTAAATAAAACGAACGGTTAATTTAAACATAGTTTCCTTCATAGTTTTTTTAAAAGCATGCAACAAAAATTATGAGCTTAAAATAATGCACACGAAACTCGGGACGGTAGGTATAACAATTTATTTCTATTCAAATTGAAAAATTGTTGTTGGTTCGGCGTTACAAACAATTGCAAAACAAATGCAACAATTTGGCAACAATTAGTTGGTTCTTTTAAAAAAAGTTGAAAAGTAAAGTCCTAATAAATCACACTTAAGAATAAAATCAATATTTTTCTATCGAGCGCGAAATTACTCTTGCGTTGTGTTAATTATATTAAACAGAAAAGCGCAATGATTTAACCGTGTGACATTAATTGGAAGTCTGTATAAATCAAATTGTAACAATTTTTGTTTTCCATTTTGTGTTAACTATATTCACTTCAAAACTAAGTACGGAAGCAAATAAAAGATTTGTAATTAACTTATTCTTTGAAGAAAGAGATCTGAATAATATACATCACGTAATATAGTATCATGGTATGTTCTGCAGAAATAGCGAAAATTGCATCCACAATACATGAGATCAAAGAGAGAAAGAACGAGAGAGAAAATTATACTCGGGTAAAAATTGTAAAAGTAATTAATTATTAATTAAAATAATTAGTTATATTTTGCGAGGTAAATTCAGTATGTAAGTATTTACAAAACAATCAAGTTTGAAGTATTTAGTTAGGATTAATTATTAACAAGAATTTTACAAATACAAGTAATGGTGCTTACAAAATTAGGTCGATAATTTTGTTGCTTTTAACTTTTAAGTGCTAAGTACCAGATTATTCAACCAACCCAACATATTGTAAGTTAAAGTGTATTTCTGCCATTATCTTGATTGTAGTGATAATTTTATGAAACTATTTGAGTAGGAACGTGATGCGAATTGGCCACCGGAGAACGGTTTGAGCATGGGAAATTCGAGCAAAATTCTTACGAGCTGACGTCGAAAAACATTACTTCTCTCAGAACAACAATGCAGCAACAATTGGTACGCATCAGCAAATACGCATTAAGCACTATTCATTACCAAGAATACTTGATATAATAGGAAGTTCAGATTTATAAACTAAGTCTATAAAAAGATGGAAACAGATAATTTCATATGTTAGATACTTAGGGATGTAAAATAGAGAATTTATTATATTTGCTTGATTTATAACGAAACGAAAATGCTAAATATTTTTTATTAAGCTAACCACATGAACAGGTTTTTCTTAATTGAGGAGATAGAATTTTCGTGATATATTCCCTGCCTAAACTCGTCTGACTGCCACTACAGCGAGGATAGGCGCACCAGGGTGATCGGGAACGATTAATTCCACGTTCGTCAACCCGCAGATCACTTAGAGAACTCTAACAAAGCACTAGTTTATCTGAACTGAAACCATTTTTTCAGAAATACTTTTATAGTTGAAGATATAGCATTTATGCTATTTACATAATTTGTTACATTACTACATTAACACTTTGTACTAGAATGTGACAATGTACTTTATACTCTTTGGTTATGTTAACATGTACAGGGGGGGACAAGCGTTACAAATAACAAAAAACCCTTTTGTTGCAAATCTCCAATTGCCGGTGGAGGGGAATGAAGAACCATTTCAAACTCATTAACGAATTAGTTTAAATCGGGGCAACTTGCCATTGTTCCCCTACATCATTCTACCTGACCTACATCATCTTTCATACTTGGCTTTTGTTAGCCCTCACTACTTCGAAGCAGCTCTTCTTTTCTTTTTCGTCAGTAATCATTCCCTTCCAGTCAGTGTAGATCACGTAACGGTCCTCCTTAGTAATTTCCCATAAGCAACTGGTACACAATAGAATTCATTAATAAATTACATTTATCCTAAATTTCGGTTTGACACTCTTCGCGTACATGTATTTAATTGAGACTAAACCATAAAATGGCTACATGACTTTTCTTTTCTACATTTTACCGAAGTACGAACCATTTTTTTAATGTATAGTTTTTCATTTTTGCATGAAATAAAAAAAACAGATTTTCATAATAAAATTTATGATTTTGAGATGAAAAAGAATATCGAACACAAAATATAAATTAGATTTGCTGGCCTATTTATTTTTATGTGTATTTCAATTCCAACATTCTCATTAACTAATCGAGCGTTTAATATAATATGATTCAGAAGCATCCTTCGCCGCAAGGCGTTGACAAGGAGCTCATCGCTGTAAGGTAAAGGTCCAGGGTTCGTATTCAGCGGCCCAATGTTTTTTCGAAACAACGGCATCCAAGGGTTCATATAACCTCTTAGTTGAAATACCCAATAGCCAAATATATAAAAATTGTTATATTATTAATTAATTGTAGGTATTTTAATACTGAATAAACGTTTAGATTAGTGCACCTACGTAGAAATTGTGTTGGATTTATATAAGCTCAAATCTGCACATGTACAGAGTTGAGTTTATCACTTCTCTCAGTCCACCTGGAGTTGGAATTTCCAATTTTTGTAATTTACAATAAATTACCGTAGGCCTCCAGAATCACCCACCTCTGTTGCTTGGCAAGTCCGGGATTAGACCTCGGTTATCCTTCCAGCTACCGAGTTTGGGGTCAACAACTAGGGCAATTCAACACCAAATGTATGCAGTTCCTAAATTCAAATCAGTTTACACGCACACGCAATATTAAATACATTCTTTCCTATTTACATACCATTCACTCATTAGTGAATACAAAATATTCCTCCATCACCCTTCACACATTTATATAACTAACCTAATTAAGGGTCGATGAGGTCCCTCATTGGCCCCCTTATACTACACATTCACGCCAATAAATACGTTCACTTTCAACACAGGCTAGGTACACAAAACTCTCAGTGTTATATTCAATTTAAAAAAAAACACTGTTTCCTTAAAAAATCGGAACAGGGGACTCAGATACTCGCTGCCGTGCTCAAGCAAGATTCTCATATCGAGCGCACTCCTACTCGCCCTCTATATAGAGCCAAGTAGTTGCACTTTCAATTAGAGCACACCAAAAACCTTTCTCTAAACACCAGACGCATACGCGAGCTTTGGCCCAAAAGTAAGGATCCATGTGTCAACCTCGCATGGCCTATCCTTAATCGGGTGCGGATAACCCTTCTTCGACCTTTCTGATCTTTCAGGGCCACCTCTCGGCAGTGCTCTTGAAACATTTTCTGCCACCGATGCAGCTACCTCCTTTAATCATGTTTTTATTGCATTTTAACGTCAGAGAACCACCGGATCGCGGTGGTTAAGTCCGAGGTTGGGACTTAGCCGCCTCGTCCGCCTTTTCGTTACCATTCAGGCCGCGCTAACGACCACGTAGAAATTATTTACTGCGAAAAATATTGTAATAGTAGCCATCAAAAGTGAAATATGGTTATACTTTGGATGCTTAGTGCTATTAGGGACATGACAAAATTGGTTTCACCTTCCACCGTTCTTTATAAACTATCTAAGAAAAGTATTTTGATTTCATAGCACGTCTCCAAATTCGAGAACAGCTTTTAAGACTTGTGAAAATAAT